GTAATAAATAACATTTATTTTAGCATTATATATTTAATATAACTTGAACATTTTTTAAATTAAAAAAAAATTATAGATATCAATAATAAAAAGATAAAATAGATAAAACTATTTAAAAAATATATTTATAAATAATATTTTATTATTTATTAAGAATGTGTGTGTGTGTGTGTGTGTGTGTGTGTGTGTGTGTGTGTGTGTGTGTGTGTGTGTGTGTGTGTGTGTGTGTGTGTGTGTATATATATATATATATATATATATATATGTATATATATATATATATATATATATATATACATATATATATATACATATATATATACATATATATATATATATATATATATATATATATATATATATATATATATATATATATATATATATATATATATATATATATATATATATATATATATATATATATATATACATATATATATGTATATATAGATTTCTTTGAATTCATTCAAAAATGTTATGCGATAAGTTAATAATTTCTTTTTTGACAAATTTATAAAACGTTCTTTGAGGTTTAGTATGAAAATAACGGTTAGTTGAATGTTTTGTACATGCACGTGCAATACCTAGAAGTTTTACTATTGGAGTCAGAGTCGTGATGTTGTTAAGCGACTCCGACTCTGCTAAAAATGTTGCGACTCCGCAACTCCGACTCCACAGCCCTGATATATATATATATATATATATATATATAATATATATATATACATGTATATATATATATTATTATGTTGGTGTATTCTACAAATAGATACAAGTATATATATATATATTATTATGTTTGTGTATTCTACAAATAGATGGCTCGATGTTCTTAAAGAACAGACCAATAATAAGTTAAATTTATATACATACATTTATACATAAACAGTGGTAACAATAAAGTTTGAACAAATACAAATTTGTTCAAATGAATATTTTTTGTGTACAATTTAAAAAAAAAAACTTTAAGAGAGAAATTATTTTTTTTTATTTTTTTCATTTATTAGCAAAATTTCCAGTTAATTAAAATATAATAAAATAAAACACAAGAAAAAAAAGTGACAATTTAATTTAGACAAATCCAGGTTAAATAGTAAAAAATATTCATTTCCATTACTTAAAATAGTCATCCTTGGCTTTAAAACACATTTTTAAACACCTGGGCATTGACTCTATCAATTTCAGTTCCAAGTGCTTTTAAGAATCTTCTTTAAGTTTTGCTTGTAATTTTAGCATCATTATAATATATTTTAAGGTCCATCAAAGGCCAAATGATTTCAATGGGAATTAAATCAGTTGAATGGTACACCGTGGATTGGGTACACCATGAATTGTAAATATTTTTTGATACTATTGACTGCATGGCAAGGTTCACCATTTTGTTGGTTTTAAAAGTTGTGAGATCTTTGCGAGAGTTTTGATATTGATGGTTTCAAGCACATTTTCAGGTTGTCTTTGTACAAAAACGGTATCATAGAGCATTTGAATATCTTTATGGACAAATCACCTAGATAGGAAGTACGTTCCCAAATGTTACTGAGCCACTACCGGCTACCAGTATAAGCTGTACACAAAAGCAAGTGTCATACTTCTTGCTTTTTAACCTTTTCATGTGCACTCTTGATTTACAATTAAAATTTTGACAATTACTTTCATCGCTGAAAATAACTCAGCTCCAAACTTCGACAGACCAGTTTAGTCTCTCTCAACAATATTTTTTCCTTGCAATGTGATCTGAGACTCCTACAATTAAATTTTTCAATTTCTTCAGTTTCTCTGCTTACACTATAGCCATTTTTCATAGATTTATCATGTTTCTTTTTAATAAACAACTATTTACACTTGAATTTATCATGTTTCTTTTTAATAAACAACTATTTACACTTGAGGTCGCAGGCTCAAGTTACGCAAACTAAAGTGTAAGCTTGATGTTCATAAATATTCTTTCTCCCTCAAGGTTGTTAATTTAATATATTTATATATTAAATATATCTATATAGATGCATATATTTATATAGTAAATATATAATTATTTTTAAATAAATCTTTAAATGATTGTTTACAATAAACATGTAATCTTAAATAAAGTTTATTAAAAGTTTGATTTATACCCATGAGATAAAGTTTTTGTGGTTATAAATTTTTTTATGAAACTATTTACTAAACTAATTAAAGTTAACAGAATTTTAAAGATTAAATTAAAAAATTACATTAGTAAGTACTTAATCTATGTTGTTGTCAAAATAAACATAAACTAATACATAAAAATTTAAAATAACAACTATGGCTCTCATCTGTCAATCTTTATCTTGCTCTATAAATTTCATCTTTTCTCTTCCGGTAACTTCCAACTCTATTAGTGGTTGCTTGCAGCCTAAATACCCAGCCATGGAAGTGAAGATGTTAAAAAAAAGAAGAGCAATAGCCCATTGCTTCATTGCTTTCATCTAATGCGCAATAGATTTTTTTTTCTATAACAATTATCAAGTCAGCAACGAGTAGAAACAGAAGGAGTTGAAACCCATCGTCTGATTGAAATGACTGTCACAGAATAATGTTACCGGATTCCCAATAAGATTTTAAAAGTTAATAAAATAATAAAAAGACTTATTATGCTATAAATATCAGAGCAATCTCCAGATTTTTAAAAATTTAAACCACGGCATTTTCCACCAGAAAACTATATTCAGTTGAGCATCTGATAATTAGTTTAGAAAGTATTGAAGAGAAAGTTATCTGATAACAAGCTGTAAAAAAGTGAGAAATAACTTTAACAACAGAAACTGAAGTGATTTGGATTGACTAACAATGGTTAAACCTATTTTTCTGAAATGATAGGTAGAGTCATTAGATTCAAAAGATGAGTTAGCCTCACAAATTAGCTTCACAATGACTGAGTAGGTCTGGTGAATTTTTCAAGATTTGACAGGTAAAAAGTTATTTCAAAAGTCATAAACCTCTGTAAATTAAAACAGTGGTAACAATTTCTTTTTTTTAAGTTCCATCAAGAATTAGATCAAACTTTATCAACAAATTTCAAATTTCATCAAAAAAAAATTTTTCGTTTTAGATTTATGACCATATAAAGTTTAAAATTCTGCTTATTTACCCCCTGAAATAACTTTAAATGGTCGTAACTTTTAAGCAAGATTTTTTTTAAATGTAATTTTTAACATCTTTCAATGAATTTTGATCTAGTTCAATATAACACAAAAAATTTAGAAAAATTCCTACAAATTCAAAGCTGCTTTAAAAGTGTTTGTAGTTTCAAGCAACAACTGTGTTTTTTAGCCCTTTAAAACTGTGTTTTTTAGCCCAGTTTGGAATGTGCTCTCCAACTTTTCCCATTTGCCTAAACTGATTGAAATCCTGGTAAATGGATTTGAGAGCTTCTTCAGTCCAGTAGCCTAAACCTGTAGAATATAAAATGTACAAAATAAATTCTATTCTATTTAATGAATAACCCTTGTAGTTTATGCAAGTTTTAACATACATAAACTGTTGTTATATTTTAATAATAAGTATTTAGTTACTGTTATTATAATTAATTAATATTATTATAATCTTTTATCAAACTTAAAATTTATTTATCATACCGAAAGCTCCACCTTTTATGTCAATAAATTAGATAATATGTTGCTTAACTGGCTACCTTCAAAAAAATCATAGCCCCTAGATTTCTATAGCTTGTAGAGAACTGCTTTATATCTTTTTCATAAGTAGAGCCTAATAATTTTCCAAAACAGCAATGGACTATTTTCTCGAAATCTCTAAGTAACTTAATGTATTTGGCAGCAGGATCTCTAAAACTGGACTACTAAAAAAACAGCTCAAAGCTCTCTATGTTTTTTAGCAACTTATTGCAAGAATTTCAATAAGTAATTTTAATATTGATCTAATTTTCTAAAATGACCAGGTTTTCAAAACATTAAAAAAATTTTTTTTCTTAATAAGATAAAAAAGTAACAATGACAAAAATTTTAAAATAAAATTTAAAATTGTTTTTTGATGCAGAATTCAATAAATGTACTTAAAACGCCGAAATATGAAGGGAACATGCTTAAAAATTAATAAAACAACAAGTTTGTATAACCCAATTTTAAGGCTTAATATCTCAAAATACTCTCATTTAAATTTTTTTTGCTTTTAATATTTTTAATGACTTATAATCTTGTATCACAAAAATTTTAACTGAAAAGGTAACAGAAACATAACTCTATTTTCAAAGATATATCACTTTTTCAAAAAATTACTAAAAAATGTTTGTTATATAAATATTCAATAAAAATAAGAAGCCAACACAGTAAATGGGTGTAGTTAACATCTGTCTAAGCTGAGTATTTTAATTAAAACAATACCTCTAGCCTTTACTTAACCAAGAGTCCCAAGGCAGCATGACTTTTTTGCATGATTCAGGTGTTTGCTACTTTAAAAGTTAGGAAAGAAGAGTTCTGAGTAAAATGTGTGTAAATTGTTTAAGTTTGGAAATCAATTATTTTTTTTTTTTTTATAAATATTGAATCTTTTTTTATGCAGCAGGACTCCACAAAGTAGGAACAGAAACACATTATAGCAAGTAACTAATTGGGTAAGATCTGACGAATTGTAGAAGTTTGGGCTGTATTTGATTTATTTAAGGCGTTTAAGTAGATTACTGATTAGTAGATATAGTACTGATTTTATATTGTTGTGCACTTTTGTCCATTGTTCATCCCTATTAAGATTCTCAGTGAGCATGATTTAAAGGTGTTGACTATTTCAAGCTCAGTATTGAATATGAGATAGCTTAGATATATAAGGTATAGCTTGAATTTTGGTGCAACTGGGATTAATTTTAATAATTTCACATTTAAAGCTATTAAATGTCATTCCATTGACCACAGACCATAGCGCTTGTTTCTTAGCAATACACTATGAAAATGATCATTTAATTTGTTTGTTAAAGTCTTAGAGATAGAGGTGGTGATTTGTTCTTTATGGGCTAGCCTGATTTCTTG